GCGAGCGAAGCTTCATCTGTATTTACAGCCACTCCCCATCACTCGCATTACCACCTGAGCTCCGCCTCCTGTTAGATCAGCAGTGGCATTAGATTCTCATAGGAGCGTGAACCCTACTGTGAACTGCGCATGCGAGGGATCTAGGTTGCACGCTCCTTATGAGAATCTAATGGCTGATGATCTGAGGTGGAGCTGAGGCAGTGATGCTAGCGCTGGGGAGCGGCTGCAAATACAGATCATCATTAGCAGAGGGGTTTGACTGCACAGAGACCATAATAAATCAATTGCTTGCAGACTCATATCAAAACCCTATCAGTGAGTGGCAAGTGGCTGGATCTGGTGGCAGGCTTCATAGTGGCAAGTGAGTTGATGTACTTCAATTGTACAGCTGCATCTGGTGGCAGGCTTTAAGTCAGAATCTGACACTTATTTTACTCTGTGTGTGGCCTGCCCATTATTTTATTTACCACTTCCGTCTGTACCTCTTTCCTGCACTGCGCACTTGTCTCAGTCACAGTTTGGCAAGCCCACAAGCTAATGAGTAAAAAACAAACGTCACTGGAGAGCTTCTTTGAAAAGGGGGAAAGACCCAATGATGAGACAGCAGAAGACTCTAAGACTGCCAACAAAAAGAAAGCTGCATTTAGAAGAAAATACCAAGAGTCCTACTGAAATTACAGGTTCATTGCAACAGGTGATTCACATTCTCCAAGCCCGCCTTGTATAATATGTGGCGACTGGCTATCCAAAGAAGCCATGAAACCTTCAAAACTGCTTCGCCGCATGGAGACCAAGCACCCTGCATTAAAAGACAAGCCTCTGGAGTTTAAAAACAAAACAAAACGTGAACACGAAGAACAGAAGCAATTATTGAAGGCCACCACTTCATCAAATGGGTCTGCACTGAGAGCATAATTTTTAGTGGCTAACCGCATTGCTAAAGCTAAGAAGCCCTTTACTATTGGTGAAGAGTTGATCCTGCCTGCTGCTAAGGACATTTGTCGTGAACTTTTAGGAGAGGCTGGAGTTCAAAAGGTGGCACTTGTTCCTCTTTTGGCTAGCACCATAACTAGATGAATTGATGAAGTAGCAGAGGATATTGAGGCACAATTGTTAGAGAGGATTGATGAGTCACCGCGGTATGCAATCCAGGTTGACGAGTCTACCGATGTTGACAACAAGGCAACAATGCTTGTTTTTGTGCGATATATTTTTCAGGAGGATGTGCATGAGCATATGTTATGTGCACTTTTGTTGCCAACCAACACCACAGCTGCAGAACTATTCAAGTCTTTGAATGATTACATATCAGGAAAACTAAATTGGTCATTTTGTGTTGGTATATGCACGGACAGAGCGGCTGCCATGACTGGACGGCTTTCTGGTTTCATTACTCGGGCCAAAGAGGTTGCTTCTGAATGCGAGTCTACGCACTGTGTCATCCATAGAGAAATGCTGCCTAGCTGAAAAATGTCACCTGAACTTAATGTTTTGCAGGATGTGATTAAAATTATCAACCACATTAAAGTACACGCCCTTAACTCATGTCTGTTCATGCAGCTCTGTGAAGAGATGGATGCAGAGCACACGTCTTCTCTTATACACAGAAGTGAAATGGCTTTCTAAAGGTAGATCACCGGCCAGAGTTTTTGAGTTACGAGAGCTGCTCCAGAGATTTCTTTTAGAAAAACAGTCACCACTGGCAGCACATTTCAGTGACACAGAATGGGTTGCAAAACTTGCTTACTTGTGTGACATATTCAACCTGCTCAATGAACTATATCTGTCACTTCAGGGGAGAACGACAACTATGTTCAAGTCAGCAGATAAAGTGACTGCATTCAAAGCCAAACTGGAATTATGGGGGTGACGAGTGAACGTTGGGATTTTTGACATGTTTCAAACATTAGTGGAGATTTTGAAAGAGACTGAGTCTGGGCCTTCTTTCTCCCAGCTGTTGCATGATAACTTATTTCAGCTTTCAAAAGAGTTTGAGCATTACTTCCAAGCCACAAAAGACCCCTGAACTGGGAAGGAATGGATCTGAGACCCATTTGTGAACAAGCCAGGTGAATCAACTTTGTCCGTGCTAGAAGAGGATCAATTGCTTGAGATCACAAATGACGGTGGCCTTGAAAGTATGTTTGAGACAACTTCAAATCTCCATACGTTCTGGATTAAAGTCAAGGTGGAAAATCCTGAGGTTGCCACAAAAGCACTGAAAAACCTGCTTCCATTTCCAACATCCTATCTTTGTGAAGCAGGGTTTTCTGCAGTGACAGCAACCAAAACGAGATTACCGAGTAGACTGGACATAAGCAACACACTTCGGATGTCACTGTCTCCCATCACCCCCAGATGGGACCGTCTAGTTGCAGGAAAACAAGCTCAGGGCTCCCACTGATTCTGCATTATGGTGAGTTGTATAATTATTTCATTATATATTACAATGCAATAATAATAGAAATAAAGTGCACAATAAATGTAATGTGCTTGAATCATCCCAAAACCACCACCACCACCCCCGGTCCGTGGAAAAACTGTCTTCCACGAAACCGGTCCCTGGTGCCAAAAAGGTTGGGGACTGCTGCTTTAAGACACAAGCAGCAAGCTAGTGCTCCTCCAGGCTTATTGAACTCTCTTATCATTGGACATGTTGACAAGGGTAGAAAATGGATGCAGGAAATGTCTCCTCAGCATCATAAACATGGTGTGTGTATGTGTGTGTGTGTACATGTGTGCAAGTCTACCTATAGGAAGAGAGGATTACCTTTATTTCTACTCTTACAATACAAAATCATTCGATTTGGGGCAATTTGTTTACCACTAATGCAAGCAATGTATTCTAAATGAATGAGGTAAATTCATGGATGACTCTGCTTTAGGAAATAGGTTATACATCTTATTTTTATTAAAGGTATCAGGCTAAGTGCTGATTTATGATTTAATATAAGCAAAGAGACTCTTATTCTGAAAAGCGTATCTAAATTTGGGTTAGAGTGGAAATGGCACACACGATGGGAAGTGATGGATTCAAGAAAAGTTACATGTGTTTTTTGTCCATCTTGATTTATCTCCTGCACAAAAAGTGAAAAGTCATTTAAAAAGTTCAAGTTTCTCTATTTTACAGATACACCGAGTAGCCCAGAACTATTATTTCTATTTTCAATCCTATGTTGAGCCTGGGCTGCTCATGTCAAAATCTTTTTAAATGCACATGACGCCGACTTGAAATCAACACCACGCAGAAAATATGCTTGAAGTATGCTTACCCACATATACAATAAACAGACTTTCCACCTAACGTGCATGTTGTGGGATGTTTTCAGATTTACTCAATATAGTTATTAATATACTAAATAGAGATACATGTCAGAAATATTGTCCTGTTCTTTTGGGTTTTCCAGTTTTGTAGTATTACAGTTCATTAAGAAAATCAGTAGAATCTCAAATCTCAAAACTCTTTCACTGAATTCAATTTTTGTTTTTGCTCAAATTAACAACAGGTCAATTTTCTGCACATTTCACCTGAAAAATGGCATATAATTCACCAGATGCTTTGGAGAGGAGACAGAGGGAAAGAATGTATGGTATCTTTTTCTTCCTGAAAAAAAGTTAAATTTATCCTTGCCATTCCAAATATTCCAGAAAAATATTCATCTGAGGCAGAAAGAACTGTTTATCACTGAAGATGTGTACACTACAAACAAATGGCAGAATTTCTTCTATTTGGTATAACTTCTAATTTTTTTTTATCAAACAGAAGCTCTGAAGGAATGAAGTTTGGCTGGGTTAAATATCTTGCATTTTATTCAAAGATATGGCACTGATTCTTCATCATTCTGGAAAATAACAGAGCTAAACCATAAAACAAGTGTTTGTTTGCTGCAACTTGCATCTCATGGGAGAATATGGAATATTGTATGCCTTCCTTGCATATAATTTCTAAAAATATTACATATACATATACATAAAGAGATCTTAAAAAGAAAGAAAAATGTGTGAAGGTCCACAAATGATACTGTAAATCTATTTACCTGAATGAATCTATAGATCTTCGGCCTGTGGGCAGGGCTTACATCAACGTCCCTAAACAGTTTCCAGTATTTATGTAAAGGCAAATGCTCTATTTTTCTCTTGAAAGCCCAGTGTCAACAACGTTAGTTGGAGTTAAAGTAGATTCAAGATTCTATAGTCTTCCTTTTGCCCTCCTGATTTAGCTTTGAAGCTGAGGATTTTATTTAAGCCTTCTTCAGCCTGGGTTATAAAAACATAGCTTGAGTTCCCTAAAAGAGAAATCACCAATTTTGAACATACTAGGAAACTTTTCCCATCTGACTGGTACCAGGCTGGGAAAGACAACTTTAATAATTTCAGTTCTCAAGTAGCTGCCCATCTGGAAGATGGTTGCCATCATCCATGAAGATCCTATAGAATCTAAACCCTCTTTCCTTTCTCTCACTTTCTGAGATTTACTGAAGTTATTAAGGCTGGCAAGGGCCAGTAACACAATAGTCACAGTCCAAAGGGACTTATCAAAAGGAACAGAAAGGACAGAAGGCAACAGAAGCACACATTTATAGATATAAAAGATTTTTAGAACATAAAGACTGAAGCTAAGAAAGAATATCTAAATTAAGCTAAAGTGAAGCATTTGTCTAATTCATATCAGGAAATATGCCTTGTGAATTGAAGAAAGAATGCTGTGGTGTATATGTTTTTGTAAAAATCCAAGGACGGATGAAATTATGAATGGGCCTGTATCCATTTAATGTTCTGAGTTTTGGCTACAACATAATCTCAGAATGAAGCATAATTTACCTATAACTACATCGTGACCATCAACCAGGCCTGCAGAGAACAGCTCTTGAGATACACCATCTGCCGTGTCTGTGTAAAATGTGAAATGAATAGGCATTAGTCCTTATAAAAGCGAGAAAAAACAAAAGTATCAATAAGCCAAGGCAATTTGTGTAAGAAGTATATTTACTATAAAACATCCATTGCCAATATGTGCTTAAATCAAAACTATTTTCATTAGAAGCAACTTGTACTGTATTCCATTACTAATACTCTGCAATTTCAATGTGATAGGACTCCACAGAACGAATAAATTCTTCACAAATCCTATAAAGCTCCATTATTTAAGTACCAAAGTTCTCTCATAATACGTAATTAGGTATTTTTATTCAAAAGAGTATGGAAATATAAGAAGGTTCTTAAACAAGCACGGTTGCCTGACATAACACTTTTATTCCCTTTTCTCACTTTGATGGGAGGCATTTCATGCACACGAAACATCTACAGTTAATCCTTATTAGTAACCTGGAAGCCTTGTGCTGGGTCTACACAGAACGTTACACAGGGTTTGCAATCAGAGGACAGCAGTAGCATCTTCTCTTAGGAAAGATGGTGCCTATAGCTGCAAATTAATTTAGAAAGCTGCTGTACATTTTCTAAGTATTTTTCATGGTCTGTATTAGCCTTCCTAAGCTATGTTGTTCTAACAATGTCAACTTGATATATTCTTGGATTACATTGCTTTCTGATATTTTCAGTGAAGGAACACTTTATACCACAATTAAAATGCCTGTGCTAGGAGAACCATATGTGCCAGTGCATCTTCAACTGTGTTCACTGCAGAAGGTCAGCCAGCCACAGACACATAATGCCATTGTTTTATTTACAACACTTGTATCGGGGCTGCTTTTATAGCATGGTCAACTACATGACAATAAAAATAAAAACATTTTCAAAGGAAAGATCAATTATAACGTGGTTGTCCTGAATGCCTGCAGCTTTTTATATTTAGCTACAAGGCTTAAATATGAACAGCTCTGGTTAAAGCAGAACTGGGGAGCCTGTAGCCTGGCAGAAGTTGTTTCTACAGCACCTAGCATCCCTCACTATTAGCCATGCAGTCGTTCCCCCCGCCCCGCCCCGGACGCTTGCTGTGCCTATTACAGAATATCAGCAGAGAAAAGAATAAATACATTGTTAGGACATGCAGATAAGGAGCTACTGCTATCTGAAACATGCTGCAAAGATTAAAGAATTCAAATGCTAGACGTTTCCCCTGCTATTGCTAGGGGAATGGTTACATTGTCTCCTAGAGGCATATGGGGTTTGGTTTTAAAAGCATCATTATCAAGCCTTCCACATAATTTGTATTCTACCTCCAGTTAGTTTTTACATAGTGACTGCTTACTGGCATACCACAATACTGTATATGCTACAGAACTGTTAGATCAGTATTAGCAGGAAGATATTAATGGACTGTACTTCAACCAGATTAAAATCAAGCAAAACTACCAGACAGTTCTTTGCCTATATAACATCCTCCAACTTCAACCATCCAGTCCATAACTATGCCACTAAAAATATGCATACTTGGCACTAGGGTTTGTTTTGGTTAAGTAGGATAGTATAAAACATTTGGTTGGTACAAGCGATTTCACAGAGCTAATTTATATTAAACCGATAAAACAGAAATCAATTTCTGAAATACCATTTGGAGTCATAAAAGCATAATTTCAATTAAAAGTCTTACCTCTGCCTGGAGTAAACTCAAATCGTATGTCATTAAGTTCCTTTCTGGAATTCCTGGAGGGAGGGGAAAAAGAGGAGGGGGATGAAGCCATGGTAAACACATCAAAAAGTGATGAAGTGCTCCTTCTGTACTCTAAATGTATTCTAGCTTCATAAATAAGTTGCTGTTAATATTCAGGCAGTATTTTACAGTTTTATAGTCTTGACTATCCCCAAGTGTATTGCAAGTACATCAATATAAGAGAAAGTACTGGGAAGAAATTAAAAAAAAAAAGCTGAAATGCATTTTAAAGATAAAATGACAATAGTTCACTTTTATGAAGGAAACAATATCTAATTAAAACAGAGTTGTAAATTTGTTTTGTGCCTTGGAAAGCAACTATATACCACAGTTGATTTTCACGAAGAGTTTTCTTGGTCTTGCTAGATCAAATCCTCTTCAACTGGACTGTCCTTCCTTCTCAGCCCAACAATGACCGCAGTGACCAGTCAGTCCAATAATGACCAATATCACTTCTGTGGATATGTTTAGAACCCCACCCGCACCAATCCTCCATTCTGCTCCTGGATTATGGCAAGTCAGCTGTTATATCTGAATCTAGAAAGTTACATTCCCTTGCTAGCATCGTACGTGGTTTCGAGGTTTTATTTACTTTTTTGCAACATTATTAAGATGAAGAAGATTAAAAGATCATCAAAAGCTACAAGATCAACTATGAAGATTTTGAAAGCTTCAGAGTTTCTTACTTGTATGTAGAAGTTCAAAAATCAGAAAAGTTATGGGGAGGGGGGAGAACTGGGTAAAAGCCATAATTAGTCTGTTCATGGCAGTCTAAAAATGCTGCTAAATAAACAAAGACCATCTCCCAAGAAAAAAGTGGAATTCCAAGTTTGCGCATCCTCAGCAGTAATCATTACTGTGGCTGTTCTTTATTCCTATAGGGATTTCTATCAATGGAAAATCTGAAAGACTCAAGCTGTCAGGAACCCACAGCACTGAAAGTAAAACTGTCCTCTGCTGAAAAATGTATGATGCCCCCAGACACACATACACACCCTGCAGGACACTTTCAATCAACAGAATCTGTTTTCATCACAGTTATTGCAATGAGCATTTTGGTATCAAAAAGAGTAACAATGATTTTATAACAACCTTCTATGTAAGAAAGATGTTTAGAAAAATACAGATTGGTACTGATGATTCCTTCAAGAATACCCTTCCAGGCGGACAGGTCAGCATCACTGACAGCTGTTTTCTATTCTAGTGCTATGATCTGCTTTGCCAGTGACGCCCAGTTCAACATCAATGCACAATGGGGCATGTCTGGCCAGCTTTCCACATATTATAAACTACTTCCATATTTTTGACAATACAGTTAATCTTCATCTCTTCTTCAGTCTCAGCTGATAACTTCCCTCAGTTAATGCAATATATTTCTTTGCCTCAGGTCAGAGGTGGTAGGGGATAGGAAAGAAAAGCAAAGAAAACAACTATCTTATTTTTGGAAACAGCAAGCGGGCAAAGATCAAATGCAAACATAATTGCCCAAGCACACTTTTTCTCCTAGCGAATAGCTCAATCTGCTTGAAAAGCTAATAGCAGTGAAATGTGTTTTGCGGTCCATTATTCTTTTGTTCCTCAGCATGGAAACTGTAAGCAGTCTCATATTTCAGTGTATCAGGCCATAAAGTCTCACTGTGGGAAAACTAAATCCAACATCCAGGCACGCTCAGCCATGACTCAGAACTATTATCACTTCCTAAACACTTATTAAGAAAATGTCACACTGTCACAAAAGCAGGATCATGTGAGAACAAAATGGATCAGCAAGGCCATAGATAGAACTTTTGCAAAACAAGCCCAGCGAAGTACCCAGCTGCTCAGTACAGCAGGCACAACTCAAAAGGTGAATTTAATTCCTTGTTATTCCGTTCTACAGTCTCATGAAATGGATATTATATAAAGTAGTATTATGCAGCAGAACGATCACGCAAAACTGTCCTGATCATTAAGCGTGCAACGTTCAAGTCCATTTGCTTTCTTCAATCATTTGAGGTATTAAGCAAATTTGCATGCAGCACAGGAAAACCTAGCTTGAAACTGGAGTTTCTCTCATTTGGAAAAACAATACCAGACCTGTACAAGAACCTGGGGCAAGAGTTAGCAATCTACAGCCTTCCAGGATCCTAACTCTCTCTGCTTGCTTTTCTCCACTTGCCTGCATCCCTCCAGCTGCAGCCAAGCTTGCAGCCATTGTCTATTTCTTGAAAAGTCTTGTTTCTGTGAGCCTCAACAGCTGCAGAACCCTCTCAGAAGAGAAGCTGGAGTTCTGACCGTCTGATGGGATCTATGGGCCCTAGTTCTGCAGAAAATCAGCAACCACTGCACCATTGGTAAATCGGTTTTGATGTTCCTTCTTTATACCCTCTGGGGTGGGGAACACTTTGGGTGTATATACATGTGTGCATGTCAGTGGGAATATATCTGTGATTGCCAACCCAATACCACCACTTACCCTTAGGGTTAAAACAGCTGCTTATTCCTTACTCTGCAGAGATCCATTATCCCTGCTTCTGGAGTAACTAAATTGACCTTTCCTTCCATTTTAATGAGGATACAATAAGGTTATAATGTAAATGCAGTTGAAGGCACTACACATTCCTGGATCAATAAAATTGTTCCTGTCAGCATTTAGGCAGGCAAACAATGTATTGTCTTAGTAAGGGGAGGCTTCTTCAGACCCTGCCTCTCCTATTTCTAGAACAAATCCTTAAGGGAGGAAATAAACAATGAAATTACTGTAAACTAATCTAAATCCATAGGATGTATAAATAAAAATACACACATTGAAAAATCATATATATATGATTTTAAAAAATGGATTTTAATTACAGTAGTAAAATCTAATACAAAAAAAAGAAAAAATAGAAAGTGAAAGGTGCAAAGAAGAAACAGAAAATAGAAAGAAAAGAATATAGTAAAGAGAAAGAAAACAAATATATAAAGAAATGACTTCCAACTTTCATCACAAGAAGTATAAACAATTTTTGTAACTCTTCACCTGCTCTTAGTTTACAACCAATGATCTCCTCATCCTATACCCCATCTCTTATCTATAGAGCACCCTTGAAAACCATCAGAGGCTCCCAGATAACAATTGCCAGACCCCCACCCCTGCCCTGGAGGCTTGTCTGATGCCACACCCAAAACCCACCTGGGCACACTTCCAAGAGGGGAACTCCCCCGACCAGGCCCAGCCAGGTCTCAGCAATGCACGCCAAGTCAGCCCTTTCATCCATGATCAGGTCACAGATGAGGGAGGCTTGATTACAGACAGACCTGGTGTTTAGCAGCAGCAGCTGAAAGCCAGGGCCTCTGAAGGTCTGCGGGCCAGGAAATGGAGCTGAGTCCCGGGGGGCTGGAACCAGACACCTATACAAGACACCGAGATCGCATTCCCCAAGGGCAGCCCGTCTCCTACCTCATATCTCCCCATACACGTCATCACCAAAATACACTGACCTGCCCCCGCCAGGCCCCAACAACCCCCACCCCAGACCTCCCGGCACCCAGCACAGGGGACCCCCACATCTCACCACCAAACACATACATCCAAGGGGGAAAAAATCTGAGTCACCAGGTGCTTTAGCACTCACTCTCAGCACCAAGGAAACACAGACAACCACCACTCTTTATAACCCATCCATCAGCCACCCCCATGCCAGCTGCTCTCACCAGGCTAGCTCGGAGTCACCATCCATGCCAGCCACAAGGCCCCACTACTGCCCCCTGCACCAGCTCTCACCCTGAGGGAGGAATCAATCCCTTAAACAGGAAGGGCGTCCCACTATCCACAACTCCAACTCTGCCAACAACCCCCAGGCCATCCAGACAGCAAAGTCTGACTAAACAAAATGGACACACGCTGTCTTTTCTTATGCACCCGATGACGAGAAGACAAGATGGCTCCCATGAAGGGATCCACAGTGGTTTCCAGGCACAAGCCCTCTACTGTCACTAAACCTTTTTGGTTTAGCTATCACAGTTCATAGTCCTCTGATTCCCAATAACAGGAAGCAAAGCTGTTTTCTATATCCTGGCTAGCCCTCCCCTGGAGCAGCCATTGAAAGCACTGCACCAAGCCACTGCCAGTCCTCTACTCTCTCCGCCATCAGAGAGCCAATGCTGCCAGTGTGTGACTGTGAGGCAGAGCCAAACAGGTGAGGGCTGTCCTGCCGCACCAGGAAGGATCATCCAGCCTCCAGCTGCCACTGCCAGGTGAAATGCTTTGGGACCGTCACTGCCAAGAAATCCCCTGCTGCCCATCCGGCCTCTAGCCATCTCACTGGCAACAAATATCTCTGGCAAACAGAGTTTGGCAAGCCTCCTCCAGCTCAATCCCAGCACTGAGGGCCACTTGTGGAAGCAAACAACAGGCATGGCTCTCTTCCCTCACAGTCAGCAACCCAAGAGGGAATCTGAGACCTGCAGTCCAGCTGAGGGTCTGACTTGGGGCAATCCAGTCCCCCACCAAGGTGCACCCAAAGAATCCAGGTAGGCTCCAGAGTCCCCAGCAAACTAACATGCCTCTCTCATCAACCTACAACTTACCAAAAAAAAAAAAATTCCACAGGAGCCCACACCATCCATACCCCACTCTCTCCTGTTGCTGTCATTAAGCGAGGATTGTAGGCCATTAAGCGAAGACCTCACATAACCGTGACTTGCAACTTCCTGCTGGCTTCCCACAAGCAAAGTCAGTGGGGAAGCCAGCAGAAAGTTGTAAGTCCCAGTCATGCCAAGCCTTTTCTTAGGCAGCTCCCAAGCAGGCTGGCAGGCGGGTGAGTGCTACGGAGTGTGGCCAGGCAGGGTTGGTGGGGGTGCTATGGGACAGTGGCTGGGCATGCAGGAGGGTGCTACTGCATGGTGTGAGTGTGGCCAGGTGTGAGGGTGGGTGCTGCAGCCCAGCACAATTGCACTTGCCTGCTACCCAGGGGCCCCTTGGGAGAAAAAGCAGCGGGAGCAACTTGCGACCTCCTGCTGGCTTCCCCAC